ATTGTCAATATTTCAGCATGATTTGAAGAAGTGACAGTTAAAGTTTGTTTCATCGATCTCCAAGAGATCACTGTTTCGTCACAAGTGAATATATAGCCAGTTTGTGATTTGGCTTTATGAGGATCAGATAAGTATCACGCATTCATGTCGAGAATCTTTCAAGTAAAATAACCCGAGATCAATTGTTCCTTGGAGATAGCAAAAAATGTGCTTAATCTCGTTCCAATGTCGTCGAGTAGGCGATGAACTTAATCTTGCCAATAAATTTACAGCAAATGATATATCAGGTCGGGTTGTTGGCAAGATACATTAATGCGCCTATAGCACTCATATATGGCACTTCAGGGCCAATTGTTTCTTCATTTTCCTCTTTTGGTCTAAAAGGATCATTTGCTGGATCGAGTGCTCTGACGATCATTGGGGTACTTAGCGAATGTGATTTATCCATTAGGAACTGTTTTAGTACCCTTTTGGTATAATTTGATTGGTGAATAAATGTTCCACTTTCCAAATGCTCAATTTGCAGACCGAGACAAAATTTAGTTTTTCCAAAATATTTGATCTCAAACTCCTTTTTCAGATATTCAACAGCTTTCTGGATTTCATCAGGAGTTCCAATCAAATTGAGATCATCGACATATACAGCGACGATTACAAATTCAGACCCATTTTTCTTTATAAACACACATGAACAGATAGGGTCATTTATATAACCTTCTTCGGTTAAGCTTTCGTTGAGACGATTGTACTACATTCGGCCCGATTGCTTGAGCCCATACAAAGATTTTTACAATTTGATGGAATATGATTCTTTTGGCTTTGATTTGAATTATTCAGGTATGTTGATCCCTTCTGGGATTTTCATGTAGACGTCATTGTCTAAAGAGCCGTAAAGATAGACAATAACTACATCCATTAATCGCATATCAAGATTATTGTGTACTGCCAGACTCACCAGATACCTGAATGTTATTCCATCAATGACCGGCGAATATGTCTTTTCAAAATCAATACCCGGTCTCTGGGAAAAACCCTGGGTTAGAAGCCTTGCTTTATATCTTGTGATATCATTATTTTCATTTCTTTTTCTTACAAACACCCACTTGTAGCCAACAGGTTTTACATTTACAGGTGTTTGGACTATAGAGCCGAATACTTGTCGTTTATTTAATGAGTCTAATTCAGACTTAATTGCGTATTTTCATTTTGCCCAATCATCTCTTTGCCGACACTCATCAACTGATTTTGATTCATAATTCTCGTCATCTTTCATTATATTGAGTGCTACAGAATATGCAAATGCATTATGAATATGTGTTTTCTTTCAGTTCTAATATTTTCCATTGGTGGTATAGTTAACAGAAGTTTCAATAACTTCAACAGAATTTTTAGTATCAACATCTTCAGGGGTTGTAGTGACCTTTTCAGGTATCTGATCATTGTTGATCTCTTCACCAGTATTTACAATTTTCTTTTTTCGTGGATTCTTATCATTGGAACCCAACGGTCTGCCACGTTTTACGTGGGCTGTATGCTCATTAGCACTCGGCACCTTCCCTTCTGGGATATTTATTTTAGCCAGTGCATTTGCTGTTGCAATATATGATTTTGTAACTCGTGCAGCATCATTGAAAGCATCAGAAATTGGTTTGCAATTTTATGCAAATGCACAATTCTTTGAACTTCAAGTTCACTATGTTTCGTACGATGATCAAATTCAAATGGTATTTTCCGCGAAATTTCTTTTTTCAGTTGATTATTGTCTCCCCCTAATGTAGGGAAATGAGATTCATCAAAATGACAGTTTGCAAACCTTGCAGTAAATAAATTACCCATTGTTGGTTCAAGATATTTCGCAATCGAGGGTGATTCATACCCGACATATATACCCAACCTCCTTTGAGGTCCTATTTTCGTGAGTTGAGGTGGCGCAATTGGCACATAAACAGCACACCCAAAAATTCGCAGGTGAGATATATTTAGTACTTTTCCAGAAACCAATTGAGTAGGGGAATAACAGTGATAACTTGTCGGTCTTATTTTCACAAGGGCTGCTGCATGTAATATAGCATGTCCCCAACATGATACAGGGAGTTTAGACCTCATCAATAATGGTCTAGCAATTAATTGCAATCTTTTGATAAGGGATTCAGCCAGACCATTTTGCGTATGTACATGGGGAACAGGATGTTCCACATTAATCCCAATTGACATGCAGTAATTATCAAATGTATGTGATGAATACTCTCCAGCATTATCTAAACGTATTTTCTTTATCGGGTTATCTGGAAATTGTGCTCGCAATTTAATTATTTGTTCAAGTAGTCTAGCGAAAGCTAGATTGTGAGTAGATAACAGGCACATGTGTGACCATCTCGTTGACGTGTCGATTAGCACCATAAAGTACTTGAAGGGTCCACACGGAGTATCTATTGGTCCACAAATATCACCCTGAATTCTTTCCATAAAAGTTGGGGATTCAAATTCAACTTTTTTTGGAGATGGCCTGATTATTAACTTCCCTTGGGAATAGGCAGCACAAGCAAATTCATTCGGATTCAAAATATTTTTGTTTCAATGAGTGGACATTTGAATTTTCAACAATTCGCCTCAGCATTACATTGTCAGGATGCCCAAGTCGATTGTGCCAAGTTTTAAATTCACTAGTAGCCATTTGGTTTACTAGGTAATATGTTTCAATGGCACTGATATTTGAATAATATAAGCCGGAAGAAAATGATAACAATTTTTCTTTCACAATTCTTTTGTCATTCACAATCTGAGTTATCAAGAGATACTCATTTTCTGCCTCATTCAATATTTCAATGTGATACCCATTTTTCCGAATATCACTGAAGCTCAGCAAATTCCTTCGAGCTTTGCTCGAGAACAAGATATTTTCAATTGCCATTTTTTTCCCTTTTGGGAGATATACAATAGTTTTTTTGAGCGTTCAATCATTTTCGATGCACCACTGATAGTAACAATAGTGGTCTTTCCCATATTCAGGTGGGAGAAATAACATTTATTTTTCAGAATGTTGTGACTCGTAGCACTGTCGATAAGACAGATGTTGTCATCGGCTCCAAAATATTTGACATGCATATCTTTGCAAGAAGGTAAAAATAATAAAAGACATGTATTAATAACATAATCAAAATAGACTTATATTATAGGGGGCAATACAAGAAAACATCAAAATAACAAAAGAGATACAACAATATTTTATCATTTAACATCATCAGCTATGTCAAGCAGATCATAGGCATCCAGGTGCGTGATATTTTCATTCATCACATCATCAAATGTGTCATCATGGGCAGCGTGATTTGTTTCGGGGGCAATTCTTCCCTGTATTTCTTTTGAGGCCCGGTACAATTCAACCAAATGAATGGCCGTGCGACAAACATGGGCCCAATGGCCTTTGATTCCACACCGGGTGCACTCCTCGTTATTGTTTTTGTTTCTCCCGGTGTTGAACCTCTGTTGAGGTCTGTACGGCCTTCTGTCATTATAACGCTGATTTGGCACATATCAGAGCCTGTTCTGATAATTATTGTGACTGTATGCGTTTGTCCGGCCCAGTTCGCGATTCTAATTTCGATCGCGATCAATTCTTTGATTTCTGACCTGCCCACGGCCACGCACCGGATTTGCCAGTTGTATTGCATTTGCCTCTGGAAATGAATTTGCACATGTCGGCCGAGATTCGTGATTTTCAACAGCAATTCATTATTTTGTTCGGCCAGCAAAAGACAGGTGATCAGCTCAAAATATTTCTAGAAGCCTCTTACGCGACTGCTGCTGCAAAACCATGTTAGAGGCATGAAAAATGGAGAAAGTTTTTTCCATCATATCAGATTCAGATATATTTTCGCCACAGTGGCGCAGCTGTGATGTTATTTTAAACACTGCAGAATTATATTATTGGACTGTTTTAATGTCCTAAAGCCGTAGGCTTTACCATTCGCTTCGTGCCCTTGGCAACAATGTCAGTTTCAAATGATCATATCTTTCTTTCAATCTCTCCCACAATTCAAGTGGAGATTCGAGCGTGACATACTGCATTTTCAGTGCCTCATCGATGTGATGACACAAAAACATCATGGCCTTTGCACGATCTTGGCTCGGGGAGCTTTTATCCCGGGCAATGGTATTTTCCAAACCCATTGATGCCAGATGCATTTTAACATCGCGAGCCCATGCCATATAATTTTGGCCAGAAACGAGGAGAGAGAGAAATTTCTGTTTGGCAAGGTTAAACATAATAAACAGATAAAATATAAAATATTACCTTGCGGAAATTAAAATACACAATCGTGCTGATAACGTGTTGTGATATTAGTATAGGATTAGCCAATAAAAATATTAATTATTTCTACCGCTAACCACTATTTTGTATATTATAAAAATATGTATATATTAGATATATATATATATATATGTGTGGCTTATATATATAATAATAATAGATAGATAGCATGTTGTGTGTGCGGATGTTATATATATTATATATAAGAAATTAATGTGTAGTGTGTAATGCCTTTTCATTACAGCAATGTCATATTTATAGGAAATAGGAGTCTACAATATTTGGCTACAAATTATACAACATTTCACCTGCGAACATCAAACATGGCAAAAGTATTGGCATCCACAACTTATACACGTGTATATATAACAATTCCCACGTTTATTTTTCCTCTATTAATTCATCATCCCCTTTCTTCTTCCACTTAACTCTCTCAAACTCTTTCTTCCCTCCGCCTACCAGTCGGAGGCGGCGACCACGGCGGCAGCGGCGTCGTCGTCGACCGGAGCGACAATATCTGAGGCAGCAGCGGCAGAGGCAGATTCCTCTTTCTTCTTCTGCTTCTTCGGCAGGTGGCGGCGACGGGGCTGGTGGCGGCGCAGACAGCTTTCACTCCGGCGACGGCGATGGGAGCAACGACGACGGAGGCAGCAGCGGATGAGGCGGACTACTCTTTCTTTTTACTTCTTCACCGGCAGGCGGTGGCGACGCAGGCGGCTTCCGCTCCGGCGTACGGCAACAGCGGCTGAGGTGGAGCCCTCTCTTTCTTCTTCTTCTTCTCCGGCAGGCGGCAGCAGCGGGGACTGGGGGCAACACCAGCGGCTTCTTCCCCGGCGGGGCGGCAGCAGCGGTGGCAGGCGCCGGCGGTGGCCTTTTCTCTTAGTTTCCTTTCTTCTCCGGCCTGGCGCGGTGGCAGGGGAGGCAGCCGGCGGCGGCAGAAGCTGCTGTGGCGGGGCGGTTTCGGAATCTTCTCGGGTGACGGTGGCGACGGCGAAAGCTGCAGCGGCGGGCACAGTTTTGGAATCTTCTCCGGCGGCAGGCGGCGGTCCCTTGGGTGGCGGCGAAGGCGCTCCCATGGGAGCATTGGAATATAATATTTTTTTAAAAAAATAATTTAAAATTTACCTTGAAATTTCCGAGGTTATTGATATAATATATATTTTTTTAAATAGAAAAATTTTTAAATTTGCTTCGGACTTTCCGATGCTAATTTTATTTGTTTCGGAATTTTCGAAACTATTTCATTAGTCTCGAAATTTTCAAAACTATCTTGTCTCGAAATTTCCGAAGTATTTAGTCTCGAAAATTCAGAGACTATTCCAATTAAACTCCAAAATTCAAAGGCTACACAAACAGCCGCGAAGAATCCGTCAAAGGACCATTTCATTTTCCGAACCAATTTTCCGAGGCAAAACAAAGATTTTTTTTTGTAGTGGTCTGAAAATAGCTTTGCAAGTAAACTTTTTTCGCTAAAATGATCCTCCGACGTAGCATCTACGTGGTGATGACATATCAGTCGCGTCAGCGTCACGTCTACAACGGTGGGCCAGCGTGGCAAGTCCGGCACCAGAGGACCATTTTACCAAAAACATTTTAGTTACAAGACTATTTTTAGATATAGTCCACTTAAAGTTCTAAAATAATAAAGGAGATTAGATACGATATTAAAAAAATAGTTTACCCTTTAACAAATAAAGAGAAAATAGATTGGTAGCATAAAGCAAAACAAATCACGAATCAAAGTATACTGACTAATTTTATAATTTTATGTGTTTTATTGAAAATGTTGCGAATTTACCTTTGGATTAATGGATTTTATCAAATAATTTCCACAAACAAAAAAATATATATATATATTTAGTAAAAGTGAATTTTGAATAAATCCAAATTAATACTACAAATTTATTTTAGGCTTAAGCCCCCAAATCATTCGAACGCTACGAAAGCAACACAAAACAGGACAATCGAACCCAAAATGGCGACAAACACACTCCACCAACCTTAATATCCCCTCAAAGGATCAAGAAGACCCCAAAAACTAATTTACAATGGATAATAGTTACACCACTCGAAAAATCACAAAATGGAAAGTTACGTACTGAATCGAGGAATTTGAACCATCAAACCGAAGGAAGAACAAACCTCAATTTTCACAAGGACTGAGGTTACAACTTCTGATAGAGAGGGAAATTGATAGGAACACGGTCGAGAAATGAGAAAGAAAAAATATTTTTAGAGTGCTAAATTGTATGCATGTCGATTGTGAATCTAGGCCGTCCCATCTCACTCCAACAAAATGAAGTTGCTAAGAGGATGAATAAGACCATTTTAAAAGGATTAGAAGTTTTTTCAGCTTTATCTATTTATCTAAGAAACTTCATAATAAGTGTTGTGACAACAACCTACTTAATCGATAGATTACCTTAAAATTCCTTTAAAAAGGTGTATGTTATAAGTGGTCGGCTAAGAAAATCGATAGATCTAATATTCATATTTTTTGGGTGTTCTGTCTTTATTGGTGTTAGTATTGATAAGTTAGATCCTATAGTTGAAAAATGTATGTCCTTAGGATATCCAGAAGATGTTAAGTTGCATAGATTGTGATTAATGTCTAGGCCTAATTTTAAAATTGTTATTAGTCGTAATGTGACATTTAATGAAAATAAAATATTATGTTTAAAACTTGAAGCAACCGAGAGTAATAAAAGTAAGATAGAATAATGATCAAAATAAGGTAGAACAAAATCTAATTAGTGTAGGGGAGAAAGGGTCCCGAGATTGTTCGTTTGTGACAATTGGTACAACTCGCTCATGCCGGTGAGTCGAAAGTGCGCATTTACGTACAACTACGAGGAATTGGGACATGCCGTTGTCATTATCATCGTTGTCGATGGTTGTGTCAAAAAATCTGAGAATGTTGGATAGTGACTAAATGTACGTATGTTTTGTACATAGTTACAGAATGGCTGTAAAAAATTTTCGTGGAAAATGTGATGTTCGTTTGAGGGATTGTTGAACGATGAAGAGAAAGCTATTGTCTTAGTTGATGGTTGAATTAGTTTTGTTCATGTGTTTTTTGTACAATTTTAGCTATAGTGAATAATATAGAATTATAAAAATATTACATGAAAGTGTTGTTTTGTGTCTTTATTAATTTTGATTGTGATAGACGAAAATTTACATGAAATTATAGGTTAATCGAAATTATATAACATGTAATTATTTATATATATTTCTATTAACCTAAATTTTCAGATAGATAAGTATTTAATATGATATTAGAATAAAAGTTAAGTGTCAAACATCTTCATAAAAAAATATCCAAGCTCAAAATTTTATGTTTATGTAATCATATTTAGGCTCTATTCAAGTAAAAGTTTGGAATTTAAAAAAAAAATTAAAAAAAAATTGTAAAAGAATAAATATTTAATACTCATTTCGTTCGACAAAATTATGATTGTGTTTGTTTGGGGGTTTGAATTTTGAGTTGGAATTTGAACAGTAAAAATTTTGAATTTGAATAGTTGTATGGTGTGATATAAATAAGTGTTGATGTGATGTTTTGAATGTAAAATTGATTTTTAGTATAATATAAAAAATAAAAAATAGGTGTTTGATTTGATATTTTTAGGGAAAAAAATTGGATCAACAGTGTAAATCCAATCCAATCTCCCAAACAAACAGACCATGAGTATATTTTTTTTACTATCTATTAAACTTGTATATACTTTATTTATTATAAATCACTTTATTCATTAATAATTTTATTATTTTTATTTTAACTAATAATAATAATTTTATCACTATTTTTTTCTACTTACCCCACCACTTTTTATGTAACTCCCTAATACATTGGTGTGTTTGTTTGAAGGATTTTGGAAGATTTCCACTATTCATCCAATTTTTTCCCCCCAAAAACATCAAATCAAACACCTATTTTCCATTTTTTATATTATACTAAAAATCAATTTTACATTCAAAACATCACATCAAACCCTATTTATATCACATCATACAACTATTCAAATTCAAAATTTTTACTATTCAAATCCCAATCCAAAATCCAAACCCCCAAACAAACACACATCATTCTACTTTTTACCCACATAACATTTACATTATAATACTATTATTTCTTAATATTTAAGTCCAACCAAAGTTCATTTGTTGAATTCTTCCAAAAATCTACTTTTAATCAAAAAAAATTTCCTCAAAAATATTAAATCAAATACATATTTTTTATTTTTTATATTATTCTAAAAATTAATGTTACATTCAAAATATTACATCAACACTTATTTATATCACATCAACTATTACAATTCAAAATTTATACTATTCAAATTCAAAGTGAAAATCCAAATCCCCAAACAAATACACCCAAAGAAGAAAAATATATTTGATAGTAATTTTTTTAAAAAAAGGTTATTATCGATGAATGGTGATATAATTTTTTTTAATAATATCTAGGTAAGCGGAGCCTTTAGTGTAATAGTAAATTTAAATAGTAAAATAATAAATTAAAATAATATTTAATATGATATTTTGAATATAAAACAAATGCTACTAATGTTTAATTAATTGGAAATTTAAAGTTTATTTGATTTGATTTTTTTAAAAAAATTGAAATTGCATCAATTAATGAATGAATGAATGAATGAATAATAATAATAATAATAATAATAATAATAATAATAATAATTTGATTTGTGGTCAAATAAAGCAAACATTTAAACACTAAATCTAACAGATGGTCATATATATTCATATTTTAATCCAATTTGAGGTATGTTTTGTTGCAGTTGGAGTATAAATTTGCACAATGCTATCAATTCTTTTCATTTAAAATCTTTTATTTATTTCATTTTTGAATTGAGACCTACTTAAATATTTTTAGTTTTACATTTCTTGAATATATATATTTTTTAAAAATTATTTTTATAAAATAATTTATTAATTTATGTTAATTATGTATGAAAATATATTTTTATTATATAAAATTTGATTACCTATAAAATAAAGTTTATATTGAATATATTAATTATTAGATTATAGTACTTGCCAGCTCTAGAGGGTTCCATTTATCTTTTGCAAACGTAAGACAAATTAAGAAAAAATTGAAAAAATACTTTAATTAGTTTTTTATAATACTCATAGAATGATATTTGTATAAAAAACTATACAAATATAAGAATATTTATAATGTTAAGTACAATGACGCAAAATGTAAATGTGACCCTTAGAGGCGGACGGAGGGAGTATGATTTTCAAAGCATTTAAAACATAGCGTAATTTAAAATTATTTTAAATGAAATATATATATTATATTATGATGTATTTTTATGTTTAGTATGAGAAATTGTGTTGGTACGATACCAAAAGATTGACTATTTCTAGCAGATTAAAAATTGCTACAAATGCTTATTTTTTGTGACAAAAAGCTATTTGTGACGAATTTGTTGCGAATTTTACCCCGTATGTTTACTCGAGTAACAAAAATTCTTTGTTGCAACAAATACGGTAACAAAAGAATGGTGGTTAACGCACGTGGGAGAAGTTTTTATTACGGTTTCTTGGACACGACAAAAAATAGAATTCATTTTTGTAACGAAACATAACCGTAACAAATATTGCGGTGCAAATATTTTCTGACAGTTGCAATATCTTTTCGTAACGGTTTTGGTTATGAAATCATTTTGTAACAAATAATATACAACTTGTCTTTTCAAAGAACCTTTTGTTACGGTCTAAAGATGATACAATTGTAACGGTGTTTGTAACAACATCAATTTCGTGACAAATAACATACAACTTATTTTTTCCATAGTAAATACGAAATTTTTCATACAATCTACAAAATGAGGCCGATCCAACCACCTTCTAAAGCATCTCATAAATAACTACACTAACAAAAGTGTCATCGAAGCACAAAAGAACTACATGAAATGCAAATAAGCCAAAAAAATGATTAATCTAATACGCCAAAAAGACATAATTATAAAAAAAATGATCACTTCAGTATTGAAAACATATAAAGCATCAGTTTAATCCAAACATACACATATACCCGGATGCTTATGCAGTGACAAAGTACGGGGGAGCCATTCAGGTGCGGCAAACCACCTGCAATGAATAATTTATATAAGAATTTATACAAAATGAATTAGTACAAAAAAAAATAAAATAAAAAAAAACCTTCAAAGATAAATTATGTTCATCTTTAGACACCCACTTGATGGGATCAACTCGTAAAACCAAATGGAATCCAAATGGTGCACTAAATAGTTGATTAATCATGCATTCATTAAGAGGCAAACATCATTCTTGAAGGAACAAGGTAATATAAAAATGTCATTATGTTACCTTCGTAGAGGGACAACATTGGACCAAAAATCATTACATTGAAGTATCACATATTGTCTTCTGAAGGTGATGTGCTAATTCCTGGAGTTGCATCAACATATTTGGATAAAAATCAAATAACTAGTACTTCTACATCCAAACAAAACTTGAAACTCAAATAACTAACACTTTTGCATCCAAACAAAGCTTAAAATTCAAATAACTAGCACTTTTTCAAGTCAGACATGCCAAATCAATTGCAACTTTATTGGTATAAGATCACATAATACTATTAATCTCCATGAAGAAGAAGAATTAGCAATGCAATAAATAAAACCAACTCAAAATAGTTAAGTCCAACAAAAAAAAAATATAGAATTTTATTTTTTTCTATTTGATTATGAATTCAAACAATTATGTTCGCCGTGTATTCTTATATTGCACAAAACTACCTATATATTCGCTTTTCTTGGCATATTTCATATGTCTTGGTTACACTCCAAAATAAAAGCATAAAGTAACTTGATACAGTCCTGAATGCCTGAAACAAAAGATCCACAATAATTTAGAAAATCTATTTAATAAAACCTTTGAACGTACGTAACTGTAAAATTTAATAAGATTCAATCAAGCAATTTTAGAATGAGATAAAAAAATAAACCAACAATGATTGAAATGAGTTCTTCGATTTTCTCAACCATTTTCCATTATCATTCAAGTAGTATAAATAGCAACACTAGAATTAGCTTTTGGGCATTGAGTTTCTCTTAGACAATTTTAAATTACATTGCAATCCACTTCACACGGATTAAGCATTAATACCGATTTTGAATTTGAGATTCCTACTGAAATTTTAAATTCCCGACTCTCTAAAATATCCCTACACAATAACAGCATTTGTTTTCTCAACAAAGTAACCAAAATCGTTTACTTTAGTTTTGTCATGGTTAAGAAAATATCATTACATGCAATCAATCCTTAATCTACCACCGTCATACAAAATCCATTCTAACAAAACGTTAAAAAGCATCACACATATGTGTTTGAAAATGACTTACATGGTGTATCAGAACTTCACAATGTACTATTTGTTTAGTCTGTTTTCTTTTCAAGTTTTTCGATAGTAGCTAACCTTTCAACCAGTGGAGAGTGGGAATAATGATATGCCGAATACCAATGATCAGAGTTCATAGACGAAAGGTTTTCTTTCTGCAGCTTGTTGACAAGCTCGAAGATGTGCAACATAACCAAGTTTCCAAGCAAAAGCATCAACCTGAAACTCAAAAGCTCGACTAACCAGATTGAGTGAAAATCGCACAAGATGCTGAAGAGGTATAATTGTGTGCTGGAATATTATAAGTCCAATAAGAACAGGATGTTTGTCAAATCCAAAACTCTCAAGTAATTCTAAAAAGTTCCGAACAAGGGTACAACCTCCAAAATGCAACAATGTCAGGATCTGAACTGCAACAATGTCATGATCTTGGTTGATTACTCCTATTAGAGGTTTTGGAATAGTGACAACTTAAAGAGCAGCATGCTGCCTCCGATCAAGATAAGTCTCAAACATAGTCATAAGTATTATAAAACTGACTATTGTCTCCATGTAAGAAAATCCCATCATACACAATAATAGACTTGAACACTGATTTTTTAGCACAAAATATTTGATAATATTCCTCATTACCTTTAAGATATACTATGACATATTTTATTACTATTTTAGAGTTTTAAGTTATTATAAATTAATTTCAATTATAACATATTTACGTTGTTGAATTCTTTTGAATGGGTAAATGCACCATTTCTCTTTCCAACAAATAGATTATATAAATTATAACTTACATGTTCCAAAATAAATTGTACCAAAGTCCCAACTTTCAGATCCTGCAAACAATACCTTGGCCAGTAGAAAAATGAGGATCATCTCAACTTTCAACATTTCCAATTTGAACAAACCATAACAGTTTTTGCTTACTAGGAAGTGTATAAACCAAATTTAGACGACAAGCTATTTTCGCCTATTGATACAACCAAAACGATCACCTATTGTTAAGGAAAAAACAAGCAGATATTTTCACACTTAGAATCCTGGTAACTAAAGGAATCAAATCAATTCCAACAAATGAAATCAAATCAAAATGCTTCTGAAACAAGCTTTTACATTCAAAAGAAGAAAGTGTTCGAAAAAATCTCATTGTCAAAATGCACTATCTACAACCAACCTTTGACTATAAAAATTGGCAGAAAATGGGAATGAGTTTATTCCCTTATTTAACCAGCCCCTAACTGAGTCAAAGACATATATTAACCAAAAGAAACTAATACACATGTCTCGCAATGGACTTCGAACACGCAATATTCAAAAATCACTTGGTCGAAATCCAAAATCCACAACCGAAATGAGGTTGTTCGATCCTGGACAAGAAACCAAAACCAAGTATATAGGTCCTACAAATCATCATAATCGAAAATGCCTCTTTTAACACCAAAGTGATTTTACCCAAACCCTAGATCGATCTAAATCACTCAAAATCGTTAACATACCTTGCAATTTCTTCACGCAGCATGTCGACTTGTTAGTCTTCTTCCAGCCAATGAAGTTCTCAAGAAAAACGAGTGGCTGAACGGCGGCGCACCGTGGTCGAGTGTGGACATATCGGAGGACAAGGATTTGGGGTTCTTCGAAATCACTGTGTTAATATATAAGTGGTGGGATCGACGTTTCATTCCTCCTCTACCCAAAATATATTTTTGACTGATTTTTTTATTACTATTATTATTATTATTATTATTATTATTATTATTATTCAATAAATCATTTTTATTGAAAAAAAATAATTTGGATTTTTACTTTTTGTTTACCGTTTGAATACTGCAACAAATAGTTTTTCGATGACTTTTCGTAAATTTTGTTAATTCAATAAAATATTTGTAACAAAAAGAATTAAAGTTTGACAAAAAAAAAAATACTTTTTACTACGGCAAATTTCGTAACTAATAATATTATTTGTTACAAAAATTTTATTGCGATTCTAAAATCACTACAAATAATCATTATTTTGGTAGTGATCCCTCCGTCCAAACTAAAGTGTCCCTTTAGTTTGGTCACACAGTTTTAGGTATTGTATAATTAGTGAGTAATTATAAGTGTATTAGTAAAAATAATTTTAGATTAACATTAAGATTATTAAATAGTTTAATTAAAATTTTAAAAATTATAAATTATGAATTTTAAAATGAGATTAAAGTATATAATTATATTTCTAAAAAAGAAATGAAAAATTATGTGGCACGGGCGGAAATAAAAATAATGGACAAATTAGGTGAGACGGAGAGAGTATAAAAAATAACATTTTGTATCGAATTATTAATTTTTTTGTAAAGAAATAATATATAATATATATATATATTGTATTTCTTTAATAACATATATGAGGAATATTCCAGCGAACAAAACCGATAGCAGTGATGATTTGTGAAAATATCAATATAACTACTAGCAATACATACATTAAATTTTATCAATATAACTATTTACAATGACTGTAAATGATATTTTTAATATTTACTTCATTTTCACAATAACATATATTGATAAGTGATAACATTTTTTTTTCAAAAACCACAAATTAATATTTATATATTTAAAAATATATTTTATAGTACACTTAAAATGGAAATACAAGTCAAAAATAGAATCTACGAATAAATCACGTATGACAAGTGACCTGAGGTATCGGTTTTTTTTCAAAAACCATCAATTAATATTTATATATTTAAAAATATATTTTATAATACACTCTGAACTTAATACCCCGCAAATTAGGCGAATCACGTATGACAAGTGACCTGAGGTATCGGTTTTCTTAAAAAACCATCAATTAATATTTATATATTTAAAAATATATTTTATAGTACACTCTGAACTTAATACCCCACAAATTAGGCGAATCATGTATGACAAGTGACCTGAGGTATCGGGGGTTTGAACATATGATGACCTCACGGTCACACGTTCAACCCCTACACCACCAAGTCATTCCTTACGAGATACATATTTAATGTATGTAAACTACATCCTCACGTATATTTAATTTAAAATTTTGTAGTATGTAATAAATGTTGTAATATGCAATAAATTTTGTCGATTTTGGTTTCAAAAGTTCCCCTTAGCTCAAGAAAAGTATTTCTCATGTATGATGTACAATTAATCGAGACATTTGTTGAGTGTGGGATTTTATGTAATTTAATGTGTCTTCAAGATCAACGTGGCAAATTTCCAAATTTAGCCACAGAAAGCGAATAAAATCAATTCTATACTCCATCTGTTCTAATTTAAAATATTCTTTCTTTATTATTTTGTTCTTTTTACTTCAAAGTATATATTTTTTATTTTAAAAAATAATTATACACTAATACTAAATACACTTAATTTTTAATTAAATTACAAATATACTATTATACATCAAATTACTTTATACATAATTCAAAGACAAAAATATCAAACATTCTTACACACTCCTACTAACTAATAAAATATTACTCTCTCTGTCTAGCCACATATTACCATTTTTTTCATTTTTGAACCTCCATAGAAGATGGTCCATTTTTATTTTTTTAGTAAACTTGTTCGTTTTAAATATACTTAACAAATATAAATTAATTAAATTAAATATATAAACTCTTACCAATAGACCAACTCAAAATCCCTTTATTTTTATTTTTTCTCTCAATAAATGAATATTTTTATCTATATTTAAAACTACTCATTTTTTATAAAATTAGTTTTAATTTAATTATAAGTAAATATTTTTATTTATTTATATTATACTCCTTCCGTCCCATAACAAAGTATCCATTTTTTTCATTTTAGTCCGTCTCATAACAAAGTATCCATTTTCTTTTTTAGTAACTGTACTATCTACCTAACATTACAAATACCCTTACAACTTACAATATATTACACAAATGTCATTACATTTATATCACACATACTAATAAGGTTATTTTAGGCATTTCTACTTTATTTCTACTATATCCCAATATAATACTAATATTTCTAAAACTACGTGCAAAAAGCAAATGGATATTTAGTTTCGGGACGGAGGGAGTATAAAATTTTCCTATCTATAAAATAAAATCCATATTGTATATATTTTATTGGAATATAACTAGAAATATTTAAATATCAACAATATTACTCATATAAAAAATAATAAAATAATATTTGTTGATGTAATTTTTCAACAAAAATAAAGTAAAATTCAAAGATATAGAAAATATCCTTAAACTTGATTAATTAGTGCCTGAGATTAGGAATCTCTAAACACTGTATGGTACAGAAAATAAACTGGAAAATAAAATACTGAAATTTAAAGTGGTGATCCCCAAATCTGACTTTGCTTTGTTGAAGTTGATTGAAGATGCCTTGCCAAATGATGATCCAAACCCTTAAATATTCCCTGGGAAACTATACTGAAAACCGTCGCCCGAACGGTTACAACGTCTCTTTTCCAACCGTCTTCCAACCCTTCTCCTGCTGACACGTGTCCTCAGCGGACCAAAGTTGTCACTATATTTCACTCTTTGAGCCGACCACAGACCTTCCGCCCTTTTGGCCCGACTGCCAATCTACAACCGTATTGGTCCGACTGCCAATCCTTCCGACTTGCAAACCATCTGACTTGTTTAGTTCAGCTACAGACCTCCCGATTAACAGACCATCCGACTTGTTGGTCCCGCCGCAGAGTTCCGACCTGAGGACCTCCCGACCTGTCCGACCTGAGGACTTTCCGTCCTGAGGACTTTTCGACCTGCGGACTTTCCGACCTGAGGACCTCCCGACCTGCGGACTTCCCGTCCTGATGACTTTCCGTCTTGAGGATCTCCCGACCTGAGGACCTTCCGACCCGAGGTCTTTCCGTCCTGAGGACTTTCCGTCTTGAGGACCACCCGACCTGAGGACCTTCCGACCTGAGGTCTTTCAGAACCTGAGGACCTCCCGACCTGAGGACCTTCTGACCTGAGGTCCTTCCGACCTGTATTTTCCTTAGAAGTAAACCTATTTTCCTTGAGTTCCCCACGGTGTCCTTCAGCCAGTTCAATCAACTCTATTGCCAGGCCCATTTTTCTTTTACCTTGGGCTTTTTAACCTAATTCTAAATTTCATACGTAACAACTTGCCCGCCGCCAAGGGACTTTCAAACGCCATTTATCAATCGTCGTTTGGAAGTTCATAAATTACAATCCTCTTGAAAAATTCCCTTAGCAACTGCACCAGTTACTGCAACACTCCTGATTAACTTCCCTTCCTTCAATACGAGCCTTTGTGAATCACAATCTCAACCACTCTAACCATGGCGAATCGATACATTCCTGCCCTTCCCTTCGACGGAACCCTCCCAGAGGGCCCGTTTTCAGCCTCGAAAGTACTAACTCCGACCATCCGACCATACTGCACTACTCCTGAAGACTCAAATCGGATGAGGGAAGTTTTGGAATCCCGAAATTCCTTGGCCGTCAACAACCCTACTTACCAAGCAGTTCGCATTCAAGACAGCATCAAAACCCATCTCACAGACCCAAAAGATCCGTATCGCTCTTGGTATCGACGGGTATCAGAACACTTCCAGACCCAATGGCGATCTCAAAAAATCGACCAAACGATTCTATTGTCCACCATGCCGATCAATCTGCACGAGAAGGTGCTCCTAGCCATGTCGGCCTTCTGGAATGCGGAAAATGGGACTTTTCTCTTACCGTCGGGCCCCTTTGGTCCGACTCTCATGGATGTGACGATGATCGCTCATCTCCCAGTCGTGGGTGAAGACCCTGTGATGGGAGCCCTAGATGGGCAGGAGCCACCAGAAGACCATCTAGGGTGGTCTTTACAAGGCGTGAAGGAATGGGGCTGGACAAAGTTCGCAACCGACCAACAAGGGGCTCCAGGGACCCCCGTGACCGACCGGGAGCATACTGCCTTTATTCTTTTTTGGCTTTGTAGGTACGTCATTGTTTCCTCTTCTAAATGCGTCCTTTCTTCTCACCTCGACCTGGCCATTCATATCGCGTCAGGTCGGTTCTTTTCCCTTGGCACTCTGTTTTTAGCCAATCTTTTTGAAGGTCTCACTAGAGTTAGCCTTCGTTTAACAGATAATGATAATAGAAAATTAGACACTGCCGCGTCGGGTCCTTTTTGGTTTTTAGAACTTTGGTTCCGTCTTTACTTCCCCGACGCGTTCAACTTAGGATCTCCGCCCACTATTCCAAAATCTGAAAAACATTTGGGATTAGCCCTCAACCGACTCTGCTTAAGACGCAGTAAACTCCAATCCTCCGACCCAATAATAACCACAATTTTGACAGATACCCGTAATAACTCTCGATTTTATATGTATAAAAAATATGCGGGTTATGCTCCCGACCACTTTTGGCCCTTTCCGGCACCAAATCCTCTTCCAACTTCTGAGCCTTGTCCTCATCCCACTTATCCTTTTGCCTGGGACGTTGCCCTCAAACCCAGGTCTCTTTTTAGCAGTAAAAAACTTGATAAAAAAGGGCAAAAAACTTTTTACACCTTTAATTACGAACCTCAATTCATGGCGCGCCAGTTCGGCTGCTGCCAAGGTATCCCTGGACCTGTCGCTTGTCCTCATATAATTTTTCAAAGTCCTGACCGACGGGTCCTACCTAATTCAATTCCTTCTT